TTGGTGTGAGAAAAACCCATGCTATAGGGCAGAGATTGTGTCTGTGTAGGCGGAGGCACTTAGGGAAATGAGGTTATCACGGGCAGCAAGGCTGTATTCAATGAGGTGTGCAGTAGTGCTTTTATCTGGAAAGCACGATATTTTCAAATCGCTCCATCTTTTATTTGGAATAAAACATCATCTCACATCCTATGACTTACTTATTGATCTCAAATGATTTGCCTAGGCCACTTTTCAGTGATGGATGCTCCAGACATGAGGTGCATCTTCAAGGTTGAAAGCAACTGATGCAAGGATGGAAAGGTGTCTCAGGAGATTTGAGCCTGGGCTTTCTGAAAAGAATTCACTGCAATAAGCAGGAAGCAGTTGTGGCTGCATGTGTTGATATTAGAAACTGTGCACCTTTGATTTATTTATCTTATAGCAAGTGTTTTGAGTGACCCAAAGAGCTAAATGAAAAACAAGCATCCATGAAATGATGCTTAAAATGCTATTGGAGTCACAACAGATCTGTAATGGAGGTCACTATCAATGTTTGTAAAAAAAAATTTAAATATTTAAACATTTTAAATATTTTAAAGGATGAAAAGCACACACACATCTCTAGCAATGCTGATCAAGATGAAAAGTGAATAAAATGAAATAAAAGAGAAGATCATTAACTCAAAACCACTGTGAGCATCTGGCAAGTCATGAGGTTCCAAGGGCTGGGGACAGGAAGATGGAGCAGGGCATAAGGTGAGGATGGCCTCAGATGACAGATGCTCACTTCTAGCAGCTTCTGGGTCAGAGGTGAATGGGTGTGGGCATTCTCAATCCTTCGCTTTACTTCAAATCTACAGACACCAATGTTCAACCCCAAATCCATAGTATCCCAAACACACTGTGGGCTTAGGGATACCCAGGCTTATTTTTAACTCTTCTTCTCAGTTCTACTTTGAAGTTCTTCTCAGTGCTGCCCTCACCTCTCAGTGATGCCTCTCTCTGTGATTATGTACAACACAGATTTTATTGACATAGAATTTGTTATTTAGTTCAACCAGTCTCACTATATATTTATTATTCTTAAGGTTTTTGTTTAATGTTTTTTTTCCCCTCAAAGACCATATGTGAAGATCAAGTCTCAGAAATCTGGCTCTTTTAGAAAACTCTGTCCTGGTGTGGTATCAGTCAGCTCTCCAGGAGTCAATTAGAGGGCAAATGGACTCCATACAATGAGGCTGGAGAACCAGGTAAATACTTGTCTTATGTTTGGGTATTATAGAAAATGTCTTTTCTAGCAAATGGGGAAGAGAAAGTGAGGTAAGTAGAGGCAGGAACTAAGGGTAAGGATCCAACAACTTAGGCTGCAAACCCTATTAATGAAGGGGTTGTGGGACTTGACGACTACTCAAACTAGTCTTGAGGCGTGGCAAAGAAGTTCTTTTCATTGAAGGCTAAGAAACAGTTCTGAATATTGTTAAGTCAACACCCATCTTGTTAGTGATATGGCAACCCCAGGCTAAGGCCACAGGACCTGCAGTGTAAACGCTCTGTGGGCTCATAGAAAGAGGCCAGAAGGACTTTGATCTCTTTTATTACATGGTCAAGTTTGCAGTTACTCGAGTCAAATAATCTGGAAGCAGTCAGAAAATGTGTTGAGGCAGGAATGTAGTCTATATAAAGTATGCTTTCCACATCCATTCCTATCTCTAGTCCAACTCCCATTTTGTTATCAGTACTTCATATGACATCAGAGCCACATTCTTAGGCTTTATAGTTAGAGATAAAGTTGTACAAAAGTGTAAGGAAGTTTTCTTCTGCAGAACTGATAATAATAGAAAAATATTAAGCAAACAGACAACAGTCTGAGTTTTGGATTCAGTCTGTAAAAGGACAGAATGTAAGCGCCTAATCGCATTTTGAATCATTTAGGCATTTATGCCAACTCTAAGAGAAACCCCAGGGGCTAATGATGGCAGGACAACTGAAAACATGAACAGAATGGTTGTTATGTTGGTGGATTTATGTTTCTTTCTTTCTTTCTTTTGTTTTTTAAGACAGTGCTTCTCTGTGTAGCTCTGGCTGTCCAGGGACTTGCTTTGTAGACAAGGCTGGCCTCAATCTCAGCAGATTCACCTGCCTCTGCCTCCTGAGTGCCAGGATTAAAGATGAGCACTAACGCCACCTGGTGGACTCAGTTATTTTTAATTTCAGTCTCTGTTGCACTTCCCCACTTGTGTATGCTTTGGAGTTAAAAGGTTAAGCAGAGAAAACCAGGCTCATTTTAAATTTTGCTCTACTGTTTTGAAAACTAAGTACTATACAGTCTTCCATTTAAAATTTTAAAACACCAGTGATCAAACCAAGACAGGAAAAGTTTCTCTAATCAGATTAAGGCAAAACAGATAGTAAGTGATACATAATGTTTGAAGTTGTGGGAACGTGAATCTAGTAGCAATGTAATTAGCTCCTTTGCTTTATTGATTCATGGCGATGTCAGGCCAGCACCACATCTGTGGCAGGGCAAAAGAGGCACACAGAGCTTTGTTTTATATTCTGAGAAAAAAATCTATGTTTCTTCTGAAGATCAACCAACATTCCCCAACAGCGATACCATCTGAACAAGACAGACCTGGGTAGAGCATTAGGGTTGCCAGGTCATATATTTTTTAGGTCATGAGATTTAATAAAAAACTCAAAAAGATTCCTAATTTCACCTCTTCATGCAATGTGAGAAGAAACTTCCCAAAGGAGGAAAGTCAGCAGATGATCCTGAGCAATGTGTAGACTCTGTTACCACAGAGAACCTTGATGAGCATGGGAAATGGAGCAAGATGGCATAATTTGTATTTTCTGATTCTGAAAACACTACCATGACGTTCAGGATTTGTCTACTCCCCAGACAGGAACACAGCTGATGGTATTCCACTTTCTTCTCTCATGGCTTTGCATTGCGATAGAAAAAGCACCTCACCTATGATGTCAGGACCATCCTACAACTACACAGTGGAGACCCCTGCCACCTTCTTCCTCATGGGTGTCCCAGGTTTACAGTCTTCCTATCTTTGGCTTGCCATCTCACTGAGTACCATGTATAGCATAGCCCTCTTAGGAAATATGCTGATTATTATTGTCATCTGCATGGATTCCACTCTACAAGAGCCTATGTACTTCTTTCTATGTGTTTTGGCTGCTGTGGATGTTGTTATGGCTTCTTCTGTGGTACCTAAGATGGTGAGCATCTTCAGTTCAGGAGACAGCTCCATCGGCTTTAATGCCTGTTTCACACAGATGTACTTTGTCCATGCGGCCACTGCTGTGGAGACAGGACTGCTACTGGCCATGGCTTTTGATCGCTATGTGGCCATCTGCAAGCCCCTACACTACAGGAGAATTCTCACAGCTAGATTGATGCTAGGATTGTGTGTGACTATTGTCCTCAGAGCTGTCATTTCCATGACTCCTTTGAGTTGGATGTTGAGTCATTTGCCATTCTGTGGCTCGAAGGTAGTTTTCCATTCTTACTGTGAACACATGGCTGTGGCCAAGTTAGTATGTGCAGACCCCATGCCCAGCAGTCTGTATAGCTTGGTTTGTTCTTCTATTATTGTGGGCTCTGACATGGCCTTCATTGCTGTCTCCTATATTTTGATTCTTAGGGCAGTATTTAATCTGTCCTCAAAGAATGCTCAGCTGAAAGCATTAAGCACATGTGGCTCTCATGTGGGAGTTATGTGTCTTTTTTATCTCCCTGGGATCTCATCCATATATATAGCCTGGTTATGGCAGGATGCAGTCCCCTTGCACATCCAAGTATTGTTAGCTGACTTGTACCTGATCATCCCACCTACTTTAAATCCCATCATTTATGGTATCAGGACCAAGCAAATCCAGGAGCGAATGTGGGTGCTGCTGACTGGCTTCTTTAGGCATGGTTTATGAACATAAAACTCTTCACACGTTTAGTTTCCTAGACCAGCGCACAGATGTTTTAAAGATGTATGGAGTGAGGCTGTTTCACTCATCTGTGGAGAGTCCAGGATGAAGCTGTGACGACTATGCTTGCAAAAAACTTCAATGTTTAGTGAGAATGTTATGAATGAGATGACTTTGATATTCTGATATGCTTAATAATTTCATTTAACTTGTATGTGCAGTAGAATAGAGACTTGGGAACATGGAGGCGGCACACCATTGGTCCTTTCCCATGGGCAGAGCCAACAATTCTCCCACATCACAATTTTGTCACTTATGGACTATTTTTGTGCAATTTTCCCTGACACAACCACCACTCTAAAGAAACAGTTCAATATATAATCTTTATTTCCTTTCATTATTGTATGACTCGTAAATTGTCTTTTTAGTACGATTCTCTCCACACATTTTGCTCTCCTGCATCTTCAAGGAGAATTTTATGCAGTTATAAGAACCATGTAAATTCTCCTAGTACCATCAGAAGATCCCAATTTAACCCTAACTGCTGCTGGATGGGCCTTCTTCCTGTCTTCCTTCCTTCCTTCCTTCCTTCCTTCCTTCCTTCCTTCCTTCCTTCCTTCCTTCCTTCCTTCCTTCCTTGTGTCTCTACTTCTTTTTCCTTCTCATCTTAGTTTCTGTTTTGGGTTGACAGTCTTCACTCTAACTCAGGGATAAACACATGCAATCAGATATACAATCTACCTCTAGGGCCGAGTGTTAGTATGCCCTTGTGAAGTGTGACATGGGTACCTTTAGGCTGAATGGGCTCTGGACTGCTGGGAGGCACCCTAAGGAACAAAGGTGCTGCTATGCAGGTTTTTGTCTACTCTTGGCAAAGCATGATGATTGCCACAACAATTGTTTGCCTTGCCCTCTCTACAGAGAACCAAAGTATTGGATGGAGTTTTGGTCTTTACAATAAACCCATGTGGTAGGAGAAAGTTATTTTAAGCCAGATTAGAGGCACCTTTCCAAAGAGGACATTCAAATTCTCTCAAACATGTTTCAGACCCCAGTGTAATGAATGACATGCAGACTTGTGATCTGTGAATTGAGTTTGTCAACTTTGTTTCATTTTAATGTGAAAACTATTTTACAGTCTTTAAAATCTTACCTCCCAAAGCTCTGCAGGAGACAAAGCTGTTTCAATTTCTTTATACATACAGTAAAAATAAAAACTAAGGCCCCTAAGGTTTCTGATCCTGCCCCTTAGAGAAAAGACAGGCCCAGGTTGCAGACCCACCCTCATGCTCAGGAAGGAGATACGGCGAGTATCCTAGGTGAGTTCTGCATTCTGTGCTGGAAAAGCACAGACTGTGTTTCTCTAGCCTGGAGGTTAGGGTTTGTTTGGTAGCAGTGAGCCTCATGGTAAGTACCCTCTACCTGGTTTCACCATGACAATCAGCTCTGGACATGTACATTATTACTTCGTCTCACTGGAAAACCTTATTTAAAGGCTTTTCTGGAGTCTGCATTTATTTAATCACCGGCATCCACTTAATTATGGAAGCAGGGAGGATGGCTGCGATCTCCAGAATGGGCAAGGTCTATCACCCCTGTCATGTATCCATCATGGTTCACAATGCTTATCTGACTGGGACTGTTTTTCTGTAAGAAGCACTGACAGTTTGTTCTAATAGCAAGATACCATGAGGTCAGATAGAGGGGCCCTTGGGTTTTAAGCTGGGTTCAGGGATATGCTTATCAGTGGAAGCATCCTCCAACAGCGATGCCTACCAGGCCAAATTCCAACATTAGGTTAGGATGGCTCTCCTAGCCCTCCCCATCCAGGGTACAAATGGTGAGTGGCATGGTGTTGTTAGTGCCAATGCTGTAGCAAGGACTGAAATAGGGCAGGAGACGGCCTGGGAAGGGATAGCGGGGAAAAGTGAAAATGTGGGAGCCACCATCAGTCACATTGTAGAAGGAGATGTCATGGGCCTCATAGTCTAGGAAGATTCCTATCCGGTGTGGAGGAACTGACAAGGGCAGGAGCGGATATTCATCTGTGCCTGCTCGGTACTCTGTTCCTTTCCTTAGCCTTATCACCCAGAAGCCATAGCGAGGGGATAAGTAGACTACCTCCTTCCGGTCTACATTTTCCACACATACTCCCAGGCCCCATTCAGATCTGTTTCCAACCTCTACCTCCCAGTAGTGCCGGCCAGAGGAGATGCATTGGCTGCCCAAGACAATGTTATAGCGGTAAAATCTCTCAGGATTGTCAGGCAGGTTCTGCTGGGTGATTCCATAGTGCACACTTTTTCTGTCCTTGGAAACAACAAGGCGGGAGTAAGCTGTGTCTGGATCTAGGCGCACATCCACTAGGGGAAAAGATCTTAGTGGTAACACTGGTGCCAAGCATGATAAAGACAGAGTTCTCAACAATGGGTGGGGTGGGGCTAGATGAAGCATCCAGACTACATTGAACCATTTTACCTCTGTGGGTGGAGTCCCTCCCATTGCCCACCATAGTCCCTAAGTATCTAATACCTGCAAACGTCTTCAGAGTCTCTCTTAGTCCTAGCACACGGCAATCTGTCTTCAGCTCCAAGGAGATTGGTTCTAGCTGCTGCAGGCTCCAAGACTCGCTCCTGCAGAAGAGGGTGTGTTTTGGATCCACGACTGTTAGCTCTGCTCCTGGAGCCTCCTTTCTTTAGTCTGGCGGGGAGGGGCTTGGCCAGAGCCAGTTACTCAGATTCCCCTGTCCAGAAAAGCAGAAGTGGCATAGCTGGCTTGTTGAGCTTCAAACTCTTTGTGACAGGGAGGTAAGAATACTCAGAGCTTCCTCTTGAGAATGCTAAATATTGGGACAGAGGAAGAGGAAGAGAAGTGACACAGAGGAGAAAGGGTCTGATCTGGAAGCCCCATGTGCCAAATTTTTGGACCATTTACATGAAATAACATACTTCAGTTTTACTGAAAATTCTTATTGGAAATGTTTGAAATGAATTGAATTAAGTACAAAAAAATGAGAGGTCAGAAAATCTTTAGCCAATATAATGCAAGATGGTGAGCGAGCATCTGCCTTCTGTCGGTACTCAGTCTACATTCCTTTTCTATCCCTGGCTCTGGCCAGGCCTCTCTGTCTCCTGTAGGGCTTCACAGAGGCTCTGAGGATGGGAACATACCTGTTTAAGGCTTCCTGTATACCCTAGGAGAAAAAAAATGCAGCTCATGAGTGTGCAGTGCCTTAGAGACGCTAGATAGATGTAAACTCTGGGAGGGGCTTTTTCAAAGGGATGCACAGACTTTAAAGCTGGGGAGAAGCTTATGGGAGGACAGCAGAGCAGACTTGGCTACACTGAACACCTTCAGACTCCATCCATGGGCAGGATAGAAGGGACTGGAATGCTGTCAAGCTATCAGAGTAAGTACCTGGTCTCCTCCTACCTCTGGCTGGGTAGATGACCTGAGAATATTTAGGGTCAGGTCTTCTACCCAATCAGGATGGGAATAGCAAGTGTCAGCTGGAGGCAGACAGGGTCCTCAGCTGGTGGACAGTATGATGATAGGGCCCCTGAAGAACTAGCTAATACTGGAGTTCCTGTCTATCTCCAGCTCTCACGCAGGTGACCCACGAAAGGCTGTTACTCACCTGCAGCATCCAGCGCACAGGCCTCTGGGATCTCTCCTCTAGCTCCACTATCATCCTCCACAGGACCTGGCTCTGCTGGATGATCTTCTCGCGCCTCAGCTCCAGTCTGCTTGCTGTCTCTCCTTTCTCCTGCTCGAGGCTAGCCTGAACTGCAGCTGCCTCTTCATCTGCCTGCTGACACGGCAGCTCCTTTTCTTTTAACAATTGCTGATATTTTTCAAACTCCCATAGGATGCTCTGCTTTCGTGTTTCTACCTGTGTCTGGAGTCGAGATTGGAGTTAGCACTGGTCTTTTTAAGATAAGGGTCATGAGGAAGGGAGGACACTGGCATGTGCAAACAACACACACTATGGAAATGCTTTGGTGTAACCATGTACTGGGCTACGGAAGCAAAGACAAAGGACCTAATGTGTCTATGTTCCTGACCCCCCACAGCCCTCAGGCATTGTTTTTGGTCCTTTCACGGGGAGCCTATTTTACTTACAAATAATGAGTGGGATCAGAGTATTTCAGACTTGGAATTCTTCTGGATTTTAGATTAAATGACTATAAAGAGATACTTGGGCAATGAGATCCAACTCTGAACATGAAATTCATCTATGATTCACATGTATCTTGTACATATAACCTGAGAATAATTTTATAAAATAATTTTAGTGAGCTTGCATTCTGAGTATAACCTATCATTAAGTGAAACTTCCTTTACTTTTGGTAGCATGTTGGTTATAAGACACTTTTGGATTTGCAAGCACTTTGCAGTTCATATTTCTGGATGAGTGACCTTTAATCTGTATACTTTGATCAACTGCAACAGGATCTAGGGTATCCTCTTTCTTTTTTCTTGAGACAGGGCTCCAGTATATAGCCCTCCTGGACTGCTATTCACCATGAAGACCAGGCTAGACTTGAAACTGTAGCAGTTCTCTGCCTTTGCCTCCCAAGGCTTATTTCTAGGCATGTACCCATCCTGGTACATGATATTATCTTGGTATGATGGGGACTACCTCCCATTTTTAAAAAAACAGTCAGATGGTTACACTGATGGTTGCTAACTACACTGCTGAATAGTTTTTCTTCTCGGTGTTTGTGTGTGCTTGTTGTACTGTTTTAGATCACATTGACCAAAAGTTCCAAGAGTTTTAGGTCTATCTGTTTCAAATATATTTCTGAGGGAGTTTCCTAGTATTTAGGTAACCAAAGTCTTAGCAGCTATGGAAAATGAAACAGAAACTGACCACCACTCCATAAGCAATATTCCGATGAACTCATGTGTGAAAAAAACCATTCCTTCCTCATATGTGAAGATATGAGAATGGAGGCTACTGCTACTTCAAAACCTGTAAGCTCGACCTGAGAAGTTATGTGGCCTTAGGTAAAGGGGAAGCTGAAGGCCCTCATTCTGCCTCACAGATGTGAGGAAGCCTCTGTTGTCAGCTCTAGAAGAGAGGGATGACGTGAGCCCCCTTCTCAAGTGCAACCTGCCTTCCAGACAGCAGCTTGCTCCTTCTCACTGACTTCCAGCTTCCAGGCTTCTTCCTGTTCTTTCCTCAGATGTTCCAGAGCCTGCTGGAGTTTCCACTGCAAGAGAGGGAAAGATCATGAGCATGCCCCATTGGGAGGCCACTGAAGGCACTCTAGGCTGACAGAGGCTTCCCAATGTTCCTCAGGTAGCAGGCTGGAATAAATGATAAAAGAAAAAGGTCTGCCACAGAAGGCACAGACTCTGCTCATGTGACACACCGGGAGGCTTTCTGGGTTGAGTCACCTTAACTCCCATAGTTCCCAAGCGTCTGTAAAGATCTATAGCCAGACTTTCTAGGAACAGAAGACTTTGGACTTTCCTAGGCAGGACTATTTCTCCTCTCATTAATCCTGTTCCCTATTATTTCCTAGAACCTTGCTGTTGAAAGTGTGGTCCAAAGCTAGGAACATCAGCATGGCGGGAGCTTGAGTCTTACCCTAGACATATCAAATGAGAACTGGAACTTAGCAAGCTCCTTGGGTAGTTCAGATACACAATAAAGGTAAGAGGCTTTCCTAGGAAAATAATGCAAAAACATTCTTACTGGAAAGCCAAAAGTATTCAGTTATTACCTTTCATTCTGACAACGTCACTTGTTTTGTTAAAGAATTATAAAGTACCAGACAAGTATCACACATGCACTAACACTGCTGGGGTTTGAAAGGCAACAAAGTCTTCCACAGGTTCATGCATTTGAAGACCTGGATCTGATCCTCAGCTCGTGATGGTCTTTGGGAAGGTTGTAGCAAACTTTAGGAGGTAGAGCTTGGATGGAGAAAGTAGATCACTGTGGGCCAGGCCTTGAGGTTTTATGGCCTGGTCTCCATTCCTGTTCATGCTTCCCAGCTACACATAGCCCATAAACAGTTGCTACTACTCCTGTCACTATGACTTCTCCACCATGATAACCTGAATTTTTCTGAATAAACCTCTCCTCCCATATGTGGCTTCTTGTCAGGTACTTGAAAACAACAACAAGGATAATAACTGATATAAATATAGTTCCTGGAGGTTGCTGTTATTATCATTTTATAGACAAGAAAACTGAGGCTCAGGATGTGATCTATCCAGTCACCCAGCTAGTAACTGACAGGGCTGGGAATTAACCAAGCTCTTAGCCTGTATGTCAGAATGCTAAATACCTCCTTGTTCTAAAACTCTCAAAACAGAGCAAAGTATACATACTTTTAATGTTTTAGTTTTCTGTCTTATAGAGAAGAACGCTGATTCCCAGGAGTCACCATATATTCTTACATTTTAATCTGGGAAAAGAGCAAGGTGCCATCTGGCAGCTGATCAGTGGTTAAGACAAATAAGCAGTACATGTGACTTCTTATCCCAAAGTGTGGGAAAGAGAGCCCCAGACAAAGAACAAGCTCCCAATTCCATCCTTTCTTCTCTTGTGGTGGTTTGAATGAACACAGCCCCAATAGGCTCATAGGGAGTGGCATTATTAGGAGGTATGTCTTGGAGTAGGTGTGGCCTTACTGAAGAAAGTGTGTTACTGGGGGGCAAACTTTGAGGTTTTAGAATCTCAAGTCAGGCCCAGTGTCACTCTCTCTTCCTGCTGCCCTCCAATCCAGATGTAGAACTCTCAGCTCCTTTTCCAGTATGATATCTGCCTATATGCTGCCATGCTTCCTGCCATGATGACAATGGACTAAGCCTCTGAACTGTAAGCCAGCCCCAATTAAATGTTTTCCTTTATAAGGCTTGCTGTGATCATGGTCATGGTGTCTCTTTACAGCAACAGAAACCCTAACTAAGACATCTCTCTTTAACTAATGAAACTGAACGTCAGAAAAGACCTGATAATATGGATACTGTGAGTATTAACACACGCTAGTATATGAGCAAGCCTGGCAATTGGCCAATCAATCTTAAGTGACTCATCTATGGTCCCTCCTTGCTCTAAAATAATGTTATCATGACCCACAATTACTAGGCCTGAGTTGTGTTTATGAAATGCAAAGGTTAAAATGATCCAGCTCATGCCAATTAACCATACATGGTTCTAGTAAAGCAAGCTTGCAGGTTCTTGACTAATAAATAACAGTCATCATATGTAATCTCATTCAAGTCACCTAGAACTCCAACTGAAACCAAGGGTTTGATTCAAGTTCTCAACACCAAACGAATCCTCTGGTTAGGTATTCCTGTGGTAAGACTCAGGATGAGATGCAGGGGAAATGGGAGAGAAGAAAATCAAAGACAGTCATGAATGAAGGAAAAGATACAGCTCAGAAGATCAGATGTAAGGATCTGTAGCTACCAGGAACCAGGGGTCAGCTTTTAAAGACAGGCATGTAATACAGAGAAGGCCAGATGAGAGGCCGAGGAAAGACTGGCCTGGCCAGCTTCTATTGTCTACCTTATACTCCCAGGCAACATCCTTTATGGGTACAACACTGTGGGCTTCATGCTCTGGGGACTGGTTACAGGCCTCGCAGGTTACCACATCATCCTCTTTGCAGAACATGGTTAGCTGTTGCTTGTGGAGATCACACACATCAGTCTTTAGTCCCATGTCCATACAGAAGCCTAACAGACGGACCTTATCCACAACACTGGCCAGCTGCCAACTTGGACGGAGTTTTCTTGGCTGCATGGGAGCTCGGCAAAGCGGACAAGTGTAGTTCAAGTTCTGGGAGTCTCCTGGGAGCTTCCAGAGTCCAGAGAGACAGCTGTGGCAGAAGGTGTGGCCGCAGTTGATGCTCACAGGCTCCCTAAGGAAGGTCATACAGATAGGGCAGTTCAGTTCTTCCACAATGGCTTCCATTAACACTGCAGGATCCATGGTTCCAAGTGACAGTTGTCTCAGAGCATGAGTGAAGGCTGCCAAGAACAAGAGAAAAAAAAAAGAGAAAAGTAATGACTGTAAGTTCCCTCCCTGAACTATAATTCGTGATTTAAGAAATACATGTATTGTAGCACCTGTATGGGTTTTGTATAATAAGCTTCAACTAAAGCTATTACTGGGCAGCGCTGTACACACCGCAGCCACAGAAGGCGCAAGTAGAGATGGTTAAGAAAGTGGACTTGGAGACTTTATTTATTTGTTCAGTTCTCCTCTTGGTTTGTCTGATCCCATCATTCATCCTCTAATCATGCTGGAGAAATCGACATAGTCTCTCTGGGCGAGGGCAAGTTAATATAAAATGTCATGTTCCAACATTCGGAAAAAGAAGCCATGAAATAGTGTCAGCCTTCCTCTCTGACACCTTTTGTGCACACTTATATCCTTCAAGGTGCCAAGCCACAAATGCTGGCAGCTCCCTGCCTACCTGTGCAGTTTTTCTTATGTTGCACACTGAAGTGTAAAATGGAGGTCCAACAGCTGTTCCTCACTGTGTCCTGAAAATCACTATCTGCCTCTCCTGGGTCACACTGCTGCTGATCACCAACATACCAAGATGCGCTCCTCACCACACACGGATGCATGTTAGAGGCAGAGGGGAAATCATGTCCCTTGGAAGAATAAAACCAGGATCACTTAATAATATACTGATGTGTTCAAGCTATGTGTGGGTAGGGAGCTTGAATAATCAGTGGCTTAGGGTTCTTGGTATACTTGGCAATATTTATTAACTCATCTTGTGTGTGTTATTATATAGGCTATGTAAAGGGAAGATTTACACTGGCTTTAAATACTACTGTATCTTTAGGTCCTAAATAGTGCTTACCAGGCAACTAACTCTGACTATGTGTTTGGCAAACACACCGGGGTTAGGGAATAGTTTCTAAATCCCAAATTATGTTTTAGTAATAAATATATAGTGATAGATTTAAAATATAAGGTAAAATAATAGAAAAACACTCTTGAGTACCAGGCATGGCTCTGTATACTTCACATGGCTAACTGGTATTTCATAACACGGGATAGAAACCATTATTGTTTTCATTTTACAGGTGCTTGGCCCAGGTTTCCACTATTCTACTTTGGGAATAATCACTCATCTTTTCCAGCTTCAGTGAACAGGACAAATTCAAAAGCATAGAGGAAGAAACCACTGTGTTGAGTCTTAGAGAAGGCATTTTGTAGGAGCCAGAGCAGCAAACCTGTAGGACTGAGATCCAGGGCATCTGCAGGTTATTACTCCTTCCCCTGTTTTCTGTCTCAGTGCTTCCACCGTCTCCACCAAGCTATGAGATCCAGAATCCTAAGATCTGCAAAACTAATACTGAACTCAAAGGCCTATGCAAGCTCCAGCAGAGGGATCCTGTAGTAAGCACTCTCCTTTCACTCCCTCGTCCCCCCTCCCCCTTTTCTGAAGTGCGGGGATTTATCAAGACTCTCAAGCATGCCAGGCAGATGCTTTACTGCTGATTCAAATCCCTAGTCTTGTTACTTTTCCAACTGCACCCGTGACAGCCAAATACTCCTCAGTGCTACGCGCAATGCTTGGGCCCCGTGTCTATTCATTTGACCATATTTGGGATCTCGCTCTTCTAACTGGGACTGTTTCCATGATCTCACTGTTGACATCATTTACCATGAGCGTTGTTCTCTTAATTCTCACACTAGAAACTTATTGTTCATATTTTCTCTTTCTTACAATATCCTAATGCCATAGGTACATTTAATACAGAGATATTTTCAGTTTTGCTCAGTGTATTCTTGATGCCAAAACTTTCTAAATGCATGAGAGTTAAATGTGAATGTTGAGGTTCAGCTGATTAGTAGAGGTGTTAATGTTTTTATGTAAGGCAGTGTGTGGTGTGTATGTGTGTGTCCACCTGCTTGTGCTTTGGTGTCAAATGCACTACTAAAGCTACAGAAACCAAAACCAAAACCAAAACCAAAAAACCAAAACAACATCAACAACAAGAACAAACAGAAATCCTAGCAGATGAGAATGTGGAAGACACTGGCAGTAGAAAGTGAGGCAAAGAAAGACAGAAGTGATAAATCACGATAAATCACAAAATGTGCTGGAAGCATGTTAGTTCTATACATTGCCTCAAAAAAATGTAAACATGCGAAAGATGTCAAAGATCTGGGGATAAACAGATATAGTTCTCTAATAGAGGATCTCCAATAGAGACCTTTTATCAAACAAATTACTTGGTGAAGAGTTTGAATCATTAACTGCTCAGACCGGTCCAACCTGCAGCTGAGGGCAGCTATGAATACAGCCAAACGCAAAACTGAAAAATGTTAATTTTCTTTATGAGATTTTGTTCTTCAGAGTGAACTTTGTAGATGACAATGTCAAAAGGTTGCACCCAGCAACCTGGAGTGCACAGTGCCCATGGCCACGAAGGGGGTGGGGTGGGGGGATGAGCCTGGAAGCCGCAGAGAGCTAGGCTGAGGTCTGGGAGCCATAGCGGACGGTGCCTTCCAGACCTTCCGGTGCTAGGCAGGTCTCCAGGGCAATGGGATTGGGGACGGGGAGGATAAAAAGGGCAGGACCTGTGTCTTCCTCCAAAGAGGCCTGCTGTCGCCTCCTTTTCTGCGCGGCGTATCCCGCTGTGGAGACGCCGGGCTCCAGAGGGTCAGTCAGCAGCGTGGGATGCAGTGGGGCGCTCGCCCGCCGGAAGCTGGGATCTCGCCAGGGGCGCAGTAGCCTAGGCAAGAACTGCGCTCAGGCGGCTTCCGCAGAGCTCCAGGACCCGCCCACGGCGCCGGAACCGTCAAATCACTTCTTCACTCAGAGTGGACTGATTGGCTGTTCTCTTGCCACTTTTCCTGGTTTAGTTCTTCTACGTGGCTTGGGAGCTCTGCGGGGTTTGCTTAAATGGTACCTTTACATGTTGGAATCAGCAGTCCCCTGGAACAAAAGCGGCCGATCATGGCTCCAGGTTTCACACGTTTAAACAAAAGTTTTAATAAATGCTTCTGTTTTTCCCGGCTAACTCTTGACACTTCCATACTTCCTCAGGTAGCTCCTCATTGCAACAAACTGGTTTCAGAGTTAGAAACAGATATTAAATTACAAAGCAGAACAGTCCTGATCATAAGCTGCCACTAAAAAAAAAAAAAAGAAAAAAAAAAGAAAAAAAATCTTTTTAAAGCAGTGTGTACCCTTTCCTCTCATCCAACCACAGAGACACATAAGACAAAAACAACAGGCTGTTGAATCAGTGCCCCGGATTTTTCTTTGTACTGCTATGGTTCTTTTTCTGATACTTGGACTTTTACTGAGTAAGCAAGAGAAGGCACCAAAAAATCCCAGTTGAATCCAAGTTCCAGTGATATGTTTATTGTTGGGACCCATGTTCTTTGAATCCCATGCCGATGTCAGAGCTCAGGACAAGGTTGACATTCTTCAGTGGGAGGCCCAGAAAATTACTGAAAATAACCAGGACCAGCTCAGTAGGAAGAGAGAGAGAGGAACTGAGATTTTAGCTGAGCCTCTGCTTCTTAGCAGAGACAAATGACTGTCCTTAGGTCACAGTGAACAGATAATTCAAAGAAGATATGTTTAAAAATAATAATTGAGCATGAGTACAAAGAGACCTGGATTGCAAGTCTGGGTCATACATTCTTTCTTAAAGTCACCCAAGTTCAAGTGAATTTAAATCAGTTAAAGGGGACATCTTTTTCATGTGTAATTGAATGTGTTTGTGACTATGACTGTGTCTCAAAGGCCCTGATAATAGGATACCACAGAGTTGCTGGGGAACAGGCTTGTGCTTATGAGAAGCACTTTGGACTTACAGGTTGTGAAGACAAGATCGTGTAACCTCGTTGGCTGATGAACTTATACAGAAAAATGAACAAAGGGTTACCTACATTATTTACATTTATAAAGTTTCTTTCCAGTCTGTGTCTGTTCATGGATCTGAAAAGAACCGGAATGTACAAAGGCTTTTCTATAAAACTTGCACTTAGTTATACAATATTTTAGGTATGGTTCTCTAGAAGAACAGGAAGAAAAAAATGTCCACACGCACTACTTAGTGTTTCCATTGCTGTGAAGAGACATCATGACCAAGACAACTCATATAAAGGAAAACATTTAATTAGGACTGGATTATTGGTTCTGAGGTTCTGTCCATTATTACCATGGTGGAAAGCATGGCAGTGTCCAGGAAGACACAGTGTTGGAGGAGCTGAGAGTTCTACATCTTGTTCCAAAGGCAAACAGAAGACTGGCTTGTAGGCAGCTAGGAGAAGGGTCTCAAAGGCTACCCCTACAGTGACACACTTCTTCCAACAAGGCCACACCTACTAATAGTGTCACTCCCTGAGTCAAGCATATTGAAACCAATACACACACACACACACACACACACACACACACACACACACAGAGACAGAGACGGAGACAGAGAGAGAAATTTAGATGGATTTGTTTGATAGATTCTGGGTACTAAAAAACAACCATTAATATCTTTTAGAGCAATGGTTCTCAACCTGTGGACTATAACCCTTTTGACAAACCTCTTTCTCCAAAATTACTTACATTATGATTCACAACAGTAGCAAAATTACAGTTATGAAGTAGCAGAGAAAACAATTTTATGTTTGGGGTCACCACAGCACAAGGATCTATCTTAAAGGGTTTCAGCATCAGGAAGGTTGAGAACCACTGCTTTAGAGGCAAAGAACTGAGTGGCTACTCTGTCCATGGAGATGGATTTCTCAGCACTGAAGACACAGGACGCAGGAGTCTCCTCCCTCCCTTACCCCACTCCCCACATGAGTCTCTGATACTTTATATTGAGACCATGTTGGAAGGCTGAAAAACCTTGAGTATAATTCTGGTAGAGCGTGGCAAAGGTAATGATAGGCGCACTTGGGAAGAAGTGGAGGCGAACAGGCAAACACTGGGTTTTCCTTGACCTTCCCTACATATGGGCTGAAAGTTAGAAGGTGCCACCCAATCTGTGGGTGGATATTCAGCTAGGTCATTCTAGATCCCATTAAGTTGATAATGGAGACCAATTATCATATGTTTCCCCCTTTGACACCCAACCACTTCTTATGTTATACTTTATCCAAATAAAGACAATAAAGGTGGTTGGAATGTAGCATAATTGGTAGGGTGGCTTGCCCAGCATGTATGAAGCTCTGGGACCCAGCCCCACGTAAGTTGGACATGGTGGTACACAGATTCGATCCTTAAAGTTGGGATGTTCAGGAAGCAGATTAGAAGCTCAAGGTTATCCTGAGCTACACAGCTACTGGTCCTGTCTTAAATGAAACAAACTAGGTATCTATGAGGACTTGTCTTAAAACAAACAAAAGACAATGATGTCATAATTTTACCTAATATGCTATCACTATCCTCCTACAACCTCAAACACACTAATTATTCTACAAGATTAAATAGTAAAGTCCCTTTTGGAACATTTACTATTTAAATATGTTAATATAGATTAAAAACCTTAAGTACTGATATCAACTCAATGCTGTATTACATAAAAAAATAGAGAGGAAAGAAAACATGGATGTTACATCCACACGGAGACACACACAGACACACATAGACACATATCATATGTATACATGTACAAACATATCCTTAACAAAACGGGACAAAATCACTCATGACATTTACACTCCTCATTTCTGAAACTGGTCTTATAGCCACAGCTGGTATTGTGGCCTGTTTTTTTTTCTTTTTTTTGTGAATGTGAGTGTAGACACACATGTGCTATTACACGCATGTGGTAGAAAGAGAGCATAACCTCGGGTGTCTGATTCCTATTCTATCTTGTTTGAGACAGGGTCTCTTGTCATCTGCTGCTCTGTGTGCCAGGCTAACTGGCCTGTAAGTTTACCGAGACTCTCCTGTCTCTGCCTGCCTCCTTTCCAGAGGAGGGCTGGGGCTGCAGATGCCCACAAGCACATCCAAGGCTTTGTGGCTTCTGGGATCTGAGGCTCAAGTCCTCATGCTTGCATGCAGTTCTTTCCCCTCCCATCCATTTTTAAGCGTTTGCTTAAACTCCTGCTGTTTTGGAATGCTCAACCCTTTGTGTCCTTTCTTCAAGTCTGAACATTTCCTTCAAGCATGCTTTAGCTGTTACTTAAACACAGACGGCTTTCCTGTAATGGCCTCTCATTTCTGTGAGTATCTGAGTTTAATCTGCAAATCATCAATACTGTGAGAAGAACTAAGAATAACGATAGAGTAAGTGTTGAACCTGAGGTGTTTGAGGGACTTCTGCATCTAACAGACAATACTGTGTCTCAAACATAGGAGAAAACCCTGGCCTGTTTAGGTGATGGGAGCCATGGAGGCAAGTAAAATCATTCAAGCTAATGCACAGCTAATAACACATGGGTGACAGCTTTGAAGAAACTCAGCAGCATGAGAAATGAGGTCGGGCAGCCTGTTTACTAGTTCTATTCTGTTAACATTTGGTTATGACCCATCTCTGCTTGTTTTGAAATACACATTAAGCAGGCATCCCTGAGAGCTTGGGAGCTACCAATTTTTAGAGGGTTGTCCAGTCCACCCCTGTTCACACGCAGGCATTTTCAGCGTTGAGCACATCTACTTTTGAATTTCTTCTCCTCCTCCTACTTGGAACGGTGCTGCGTTCAAGATTCCACTAGCCCATCATAACAGCTCTCAAAGCAACCAAGGACCTTGCATTTTTAGTCTTTACACTTTTCTTTTTCAATGTTTTTCTTTTTCCTCCGAAAGTTGCAACACCATCTCAATGGGGTGTCCTCTTGCTTAGTTGTTTAAAGGATCAATAACACCGGAGGGTTGTTAGTGTGTTTTTATTTCTTTACTACGTGCTGAGGTAGCCTAAATTCGTTTAGGCTCTACTCTATGTTGTGAAAGAGCCATGACAGACCATACTAGGAGGAAAGAGTACAGAAAAGGAGCTGACCGGAAGTGCAATGCAGTGGACCGAGATCAACAGTAACCCAGAATTAACTTTTTGGTCCTTGGGGTATCTCTCAGCTACTAGGTTGCAATCCTCCATATGACCACAAGAGGGCAGCATCAAAAGTGAGACGTAGCTCCTTGAGCATCGGTACAAGTATTTTGCAGTTTGTATATTCTGGTGCTTGCCCATCCCTCCAGTCCAGTATTTACTCTTTTCCATCCTGGTCATTTATTTTCTCTCCTTCACGGCAAGAACTCCTCCCTTCCACTGTCCTAAAAAGGTCTCAGGATAATTGTGTAGGAGTCAGGGCTCAGTTCTCCTTAGGGCTTTGAGTGGACCTTGAGTCCCAGATCACTCATTTCTACTAGCTCTCCCAAAGGCCACCAGACGATCTATATTTAGGTAGCAGAACTGATGATGGACATGCTCTGGCTCAGACTTAAGGGAGACAGCAGAGGG